TTTTTCCATGAGAAATGTTTACTATGTGTTTTTTTCATCCTGACATTCACTATAAAGTGTAAAATAAAAAGGGTGTCTGCTAACACATGGACAGACAAAGAGACACAAGGACAGGATTTTACGGCACAGGTGATAATAGAGACAAGACAACTCTTAGAAAACACAAGAAAGGTGGTCGTGTGGTGATGAACTCCCGCAGTTTTTGTTTGAGAAGAGAAAAAAACAAGCAACCCAATCAAAAAATGGGCAAAAGAGCTAAGTAAGCATTTCTCTAAAGAAGATATGCAAATGGCCAACAGTCATATGAAAAAATGTTCAACATCACTCAGCATCCGGGAAATGCAAATCAAAACCACACTGAGATACCATCTCACCCCAGTTAGGATGGCTAAAATCCAAAAGACGCTGAAAGATAAATGCTGGCGTGGTTGCGGAGAAAAAGGAACTCTCTTACATTGTTGGTGGGAATGCATAATGGTGCAACCCCTATGGAAAATGGTTTGGAGGTTCCTCAAACAGCTGAAGATAGATCTACCATACGACCCAGCTATCCCACTGCTGGGAATATATCCAAAGGAATGGAAATCATCAAGTCGAAGGTATACTTGTTTCCCAATGTTCATTGCAGCACTCTTCACAATAGCCAAGAGCTGGAATCAACCCAAATGTCCATCATCGGATGAGTGGATACGGAAAATGTGGTATATCTACACAATGGAATACTACTCAGGTATAAAAACTAATGAAATACTGCCATTTGCAACAACATGGATGGACCTTGAGAGAATAATATTGAGCGAAGAGTCAGGCAGAGAAAAAGAAATTCCACATGTTCTCACTCATTGGTGGGAGGTAAAAAAAAAACCAAACAAATTAATTCAACCACATACACACACACACAAAAAAAAACTGGGGAGGGTGGGGAAGAAGATATAACAACTATACTTTCATGAAGTTGTTACAACAAGCAAACGGAAAGGACATTCTTGGGGGGGAGGGGAGAGAGGGAGGAGGGAGGGAGGTGTCGGTGATGGGCCATAATAATCATATACAGTGTATAATGACAAAATAAAAATTTAACAAAAAAAAAAAAAAGAAATTCATTCTAGTGTAACTATGTCTTAATGATATATAATACCTTACACCTTAAAAAGACCAGACCATCCCAGTCACTGGATTTTGGGGGACAGCAAGGGAGAAGAAAGAAAACCATGTTAACTTTTCTTAAAGGTGAACTTCAAAGAAATTAACACAGCTACAATTAATGAGACCAGATGTATTTAAATAACATCAAGCAGGAAAGGAAAGGGAGAAGAAAGAAAACCATGTTAACTTTTCTTAAAGGTGAACTTCAAAGAAATTAACACAACTACAATTAATGAGACCAGATGTATTTAAATAACATCAAGCAGGAAAAGATATTATCTATCCATTTAACAAATATCTTGCCTTCATAGTGCCAAATATCTAGAAGACTTAAATTTTCTAATTTCTTCCACTTGCTTAGCTTTATGTAAATACATTCCACTGTACGATTTCACCCAATAGCCTGGTAAATTATAAAGAATAGAGATATTCTCTTCCATCTGCCCTCATCTTGTGATACATACACTATGTTTGTTGTAAAGATCACATACACTTTTTAAATTAAGGTGGTACTAAGTAACTATAAAGTGCAATTCAAATTTAAGGCAGAATTGTAGGTTTTGTGTATTATTAGGGGTAGAGAAATATCCGCCCTTGAAGAGAGATGAAGTACTTAAATTGCCTTAAATTTCCAGAAATTGGACAAAAATCCCAACCTGTCATCACATTGGTAAAAATCTCAACCATTAACTAGACTAGATTTGTAATTGTTCCCTTTTTCTACCTGCCAGCTCTGCTAAATATTGCCAGTTTTCCCCAGGGGCTGGCTTCCCTGAGGATAATTTACTCCTCCTCTTGTGACAAAATAGCTGAAGCTTAACTACACTTAGCTGAAAGCTTGTACCCATCATCCCCTTCAGATGAAACTCAAGAGACTTTATTGGCAATTTGTGGCTAAAACAAAGCAAATCCTAATTTTGCGCCAAATATTTAACTTAACTTACTCAAGCTGGTCCATTAAGCACTTCAGGCAATAAAGACTATTTAGAAATTACATTCTAAAGTTTCCCTAGTACAAATACAAAAATGAAATTTAACAAACAAACATGATAAAACAACGCCAATAACTTTATTTCCTCTGGTAGTCAACAACTAATTTCTTGAAAGGGAAATCTGTAATCGTAACCCATAAAAATGGTGTTTTGGAAAGTTAATCAATCACATGAAGAATTCTGAATTAAGCCTTTTATATGCAGAAAACACAACTCCAACAGGAAAATAATCCAGGAAAGTCTTTCCTACTTGCCAGTATAATTATAAAAATAAGTGCAAATTTCCAAGCACAATAAAATTGTATTTAAAATACAAGCCACTCATTTGTTTACTTAGGGGATCGAATTATCCCTCCTTTTGTATTGTTCGTCTGTTTTTCTACATTTTAAAACTTAAATTACAGTTGTAGAATATTTATCCTGAGTATAAAATTATTGCATATTTTTTTTACATTGCAAGTGTTGCCTAAAAAGTAAACTTGGTAATATACACAAACTCCTAAAATAATTGAATTTTGTTTCATTCTGCATTTACATTTGGTTTGTCTACCAGAAGTACTGATATGAGATAGAACCAAATTACATGTTTTCTCTAAAAAGTTCCATTAGTTTTTCTTTTAAAAAAACCTACATGCTACTAAAAACAAATGCAATAAATCTCACTCCGTGTTTCTGAAAAACCTGATCTCTAAAGAAAATTTTAAATGCCAGAAGCAAATGTTAGAAGAAACTGAGATTTTTTTTCCTTTAATAAATATTCAAAGATTATAGGAAAAGCTTTGGCCTAGAGAATATATATTATTCACTTCCATTTTAGGATGGTGTTTACCAAAACATCATAAATACTTAATATCAAGTGTTCCTAGTGCTTCTAGCAAAAGGCAGTAAAATGAAACATAAACCTCAGCTGTGAAAGCCCAGGAGTTTGCTTTGCATGTCATCACTTCCCTTCCGCACACTCTGTTTAGGATGGCCCAGATTCTAATGATCACCAGAGATAGCTCAGCTGAATTCCAAACAGAAATATTATGTTCTCCAGCGGCACTATTAATCATTTAAATGGAAAGAACAACAACAGTAGTCAAACAACTCAGCCACTGGTTCAAGTTGCCTGACTGATAGCTGAGAAATACCATATTAGGAGGAGGGAATAATCACACATTCCCATCTAAATTCTTATTTCACATTTCTTCTATAAAACCTATAGAACTTTCTAGATATCAAACGGTTAACTCTATGCTCCAAGGGTGGAAGTGTCTGAGACTGTTTATGGAAATCTTAAACTTCAAATCACAGACACAGGCTCACAGAGCCCAATGTGAAAGAATTAGTACAAAATCTCATTTATAAACAAAATCCAGATCTTTAGAATTACACCGTGTTTGCAATACTAAACAAATGTCTTTCTAATCTCTTTTTTCTAGATAATGCCCACCTTCACTGGATAGTAAGAAACTTCTTAGAGTTTAAAATATATGTAAAATTACGAGCCTTTCCTGCCCCCAAGAGAAATACTCACAGAATTAATTATTCCTTTAAGAGCTTGAAATCCACCTTTGACAGGAAAAACTTGTTCCTTTGAATCAGCAATTCTTTCAAGCTTTAGAAAAAGGAGGAAAACTTAATTAATGGGTGGCTGAGACATACAACACTATAAACTTCATTATGTTTGCTATGTTTATCTGAAAAATTACTCCACAGGACTAACCAGTGTGGCCTGTGTTCAATGTCAAGAATTGAAGGTGAGGATATTAGTGATACTCTAAATGTGTCACCATGAAATGAACTGAGCTCAGTCATAGCCCATTTACATTGGCCCCAAGTTGCAATCTCAAAACAGTGCAGAACTCTACTAGCTAATGGCATGAGACTCAGGACACTAAGCCATGCTCAAGCAAAAATTTAAATGTAAAATAATTTTGTAAGCAAAAGACAATTTTAAAATATAAACTCTCAAAAATTTATAAAATTTGGTTTGGTTAGAAAAATCGTTAAAGCCTTCGCCTAACTGGATTTCCCAAATCCCTGTATACCTAAGAGTCAAATTTTAAATTAAAAAAAAAATATTCTAAGACTGTCATCATAATCTTGTTAGTTTAGTTAAAGAGGAGTATTCACATCATTTCAATCCAAATGTTTATCTCATATTCATTCTCCAAGCCCAATAAATGTTCAAAAAATTTAGGGTTTTGTTTTCAGTAATAAAACCTATTAAAATCCTGACTTAAAGAGGAGTATTCACATCATTTCAATCCAAATGTTTATCTCATATTCATTCTCCAAGCCAAATAAATGTTCAAAAAATTTAGGGTTTTGTTTTCAGTAATAAGACCTATTAAAATCCTGATCCAATAAATGTTCAAAAAATTTAGGGTTTTGTTTTCAGTAATAAAACCTATTAAAATCCTGACGTTAAGCTACAACTCAAGATAGCCATTTTTATAGAAAGTCTTTATAATATTTTTATGAGAAATCTTTAAAAATTGATTAGTGTCACAGTAAGTTATCAGTTAAAAGAATTTGTTAAACTATCTTTAAGAAAATTATGTGATTTAAAGTTTGTAGATCTGTTGTAACTCACCTGAGCTTGTTCAAAATCAAGGACACCAACACAATAAACACTAGCCCCAAGTGACCTGGATATCTTTGCCTATTCAAAAAGAAAAACAGAGAGTGGAAAAGGGACAAAGTGAGAGAGAGAAAGAGACAGAGAGAGAGAGAGAGGGAGGGAGAAAGAGCAAGAGGGAAGAAGTGAATTATTCAAATATCAAGCTATCCAAGCAGAGACACACAGTACAGTACAGTGGGATGTAAAGAACAGTTTCAGTTCAATACTCACCTCTTTCTCTGCATATGATGGCACCAGACCGTCCAACTTACCATCTGTCAGAGCAATTATGATACTGGAGGTTTTTAAGCCTCCTGCTTTCTGAATTTGTTCATTCGCCTGAAAATGAAGAATAATTATCCAACTCACAATTTAATTTTAACTTTTAAACCAGCATGTTCCATCAAGCTGAATTTCTAAGTCTGACAAAATCAAATATTACTGACTAGCTTTTAAGACAGAGTATTTTGTTTTAACCATTTTATTTGAAATATGCATATATTCACATCATAGAGTAGTTACTACTAGCTTTAAGTGATATAGATTTTCAACTGTGGTTGACTAATCGGAATATAACCACAGAGAAAATGGAAAAATCCTTAAAAGGCAAAACGCCATACAAAGCTTTCTTACCACCACAGTAAATAATGCTTTCTATATTTCCTCTTTGGAACAACTAAAAACATAAAAAAAACTTTAAGATAAATATGTAATGGGGTTCTGGGCTTTGCTAGAGAGTTAAACTTCATTACAGAATAAGAAAGCATTCTTTCACACTCTTATAAATTTAAAAAAGAACTTACTAGCTTTAGTCCTTCATGAATATATGTCTCTCCGACTGGACTAACATGTTTTAAATCCTCCAAGCCTTTGCTGATTTTGCCTCTGAAAATAATGTATTATAATATTAAACAAAAGAAAAATGAGCAAAGATCACAATAAACACTTCTCAAAAAACATGGCAGTATTACAACTAAAGTTTCTTCACTAAGTTGTAGAGGAAAAGACACGGACTTTGAAGTCAGATAGTTCTTCATACTTTTTTTCATTTTAATAAGTATTTAATAACTTCTGTATTTTAGCTGCAAAAGAAAAAATACCAATAATGTCTTAAATAAGCTGAGCATATTCAGGGCATTTTGAGCTGAGAACATACATCTTCAATCATATTTGTTTTACTGAATGGTAAGGAGTAAAACATAATTTCACTCATCCACAAAAATACAAGGATTGAGTAGCTCAGCTTCAGTGAAAAATTATTTCCGAAACACTCACCACACCTCCCTAAAAGTGGGAAATTTGCTTTATCTGCAAATTCCTAAGGCACATTTACTTAACCCTTACTTATGGAAATTACATTTTCTACTTTTGTCTCCCAAAGTCATAACTCTCAAGATTTATTCTTTTTCGTGCTACCTTCTCACCCATCTGGACACAAACACATCCTCTCAAATATAGCAGGTACTTAATATAGTATTTGATAAACAATTGAAAGAACAGAAATGAATAGATGCATGGATGGATGCATGGATGGATGGATAGATGGATGAAACAGGATAATAGATTCTTGGTAGAAGCAGTATGAAAGAAAAAGATGAAAAACCGTAAAAGAATCTTTCTCATCATGACTAATTCATTGTCTCAATGGAGTATGTCTAAGCAGGCTGTGACTACAATATTAAGAGCTATTTTGGGTGTACGAGCAAGGGAAGACCCAGTTCTCAGGTTTTTAAAGTATAGATTCCCAACTCCTTCAAAAATAAATAAAACCACAATAATCAAGAGAAAAATAAAATAGTGATGCAAAACTATCCAAAATAAATTCTAAACTTCTTTTAAAAATTTTTAAATTTAAAATATTGAAGAGATCTTAAGATACTGTTTTCAGAATTTTAGTTTTTCAATAGAAGCAAATAAATGCCTTTTTAAATACAAAATTCTTTTACATTTGAAAATGGTAAGCTGAATTTTAATTCTTTAGATAAAAAATAAAGGGCACCCTTATTACTGAGGATGGTAGATAAAGGAGATTAAATTAAAAAGGTATTATCTTAACCTCAAGGAACTTACAAGGTTCGTACACAAAATTTTATATGTATATGTATATAAGTGTGTGTATGAATACATCACGTGCTATTATAACACATGTCAAAAATAGTAAAAAAAAAAATTTGTCATGCTACAGTATTGTTTCAAATACTTGAAATAAATGAGCCATTCACCAGAGCCTAATATACATTTTAAAAATAACTTCTTGATTATATTTTAATATAAGTATAGTAAGGAAAATTATTATGTTCTCCACCTCAAGAAACTTCCAGAAAACACAGGACAACTTTCAAGGTATGAGCCTAACCCTTTTCTTTCTGATTCAATCGTCTCTTCCAAACCATGTGGATTATTTCTTTTATGCTTAGTTTAAAATCCTTCTCTAACCTCATTATATTCTCTTTCCTAAGGTGCGCCAAGCTTTCTATTCATACCCATTTTCATCGTTTACTACACTGAAAAATGTTGTCTCTTAAAAATATTCTACTTTAAAATAATTTAACTAATTTAATTTAATATATTCACTTTTCAACTAGACTTGAAGTTTACAGGGGGGGGGGGTATCAGTATATCTCGTATTTATAATGTACCTCCCTGCTCTGCATTTATTACTTATTATAGTATCTTTTGCAAAGTAAGTGTTCAATAAATTTTTCAATCTACCACAGAAAAAAATTCACAACTTCACAGATGATGGAATAAATTACATGATTTATAAGCTTGTTTTATCTAAATATTTATGTTTGATATCTACAGAAACAACTTGAAATTGATTCTGTCTGACTGCAGATAAAAACCCAAATATTTGGTGCTTCCCAGAAATGAGTGGCAGTGTGTCCTCAAGCATTAATAAGTTTGCTGCCAAAAGGGAAATGAAAAGACAACTGAAATGCAAGTTTACTCAAACATATTTTGCGTGGTAAAAATAGCCTCCATTCAGTTCAGATCAGCTCACCCTTACTTCTCAGAACCAGATAACACCAGCAGAAGACCCTAAGCTGAAGGAACTTGCCAACATCAGAGTCTTTCGGAAGGGTGAGTCTCTGTTAGCTTATTTTATTGGAAGAGACAGAGCACTTCTTGGTTCTCTACCTATACCTATACCTGCCACCCTAATATTCTAAAGGGTACTGATCCTGTTATTACTTTTGCAGCTGCATAGCCATTGGAGAAAATAGCTCCTTGCCCATAGCCAATAGCATCAACGCAGAGGAGTCCTGGTCTTGTTCTCCTTCAAGAGTAATTACACAGTCTGTCAGCCTCTCCTCAATCAACAAGGTGTCACTCTAGTGAAAATGGAAGCCAAAATAAGAAAGAGTAGATCTCAGGCCTTTGAAAGATCCCAAGCAAATAAAAATAAGTTTAAGTTTTCCTTTTGGTAGATGGTTAATTGGGGAAAAGCAAAATGATGTAGCAGGTTAAAGGACAGCAAGTGGGGAAATGATTTTTAAAAAAAGAAGAAATGGTTGTTATAAGCTCAAATACAACATCATCTTAGAAGATCAGCTTCACTGAGTTTGGCTTTAACGTTATATCTTCAACTATAAGGAATAGCAATATTGAAACCACTTCAGTATTTGTTGTGAAACTATTGTCAAGGATACTGCTATCATGACAAGCAATGGGTCTCATAGCAGAAGTTTCCCCTATAAGGTCTCATAGCAGAAGTTTCTTTGTCACTCCGAGTAGTTGCTGTACACTTCCTCCTTTCTGCTATTTGCAACTACGTAAACTTTATTTCCTGCCCTGCCAGGAAGCCCACAGTAAATTTCTTACTCATTCCCAAATTCTGGTAAATTACAATGGTTATTATATTGTTTATCCTCTTTTCCAGGATCTTAACTTTTCATTTTATATTTCATTAATTTTCTGAAATATTATAATACTCTGTGCAACCTCAAATACTTCCTAGCAGGATATAAACAATTAAAATGGTATATATTAAACATCTGTTTTTTAAATTGAGAATCAGAAGACCAAACTCCATAATCAACTGGAGAGGAAGACAGGGAGAGAGAGAGGAGGCGAACACACAGTCTCATTTTTTTAATCTGTGAAATTAATACTTTCAGCTTTGTTAGTATCTCTCAAATTTCTCTGTATAACAGGGCAGGGCAGGGCAAGGAAGGGAAGCTAGTAATCACAACTGCCATGTGCTATGCTGTATCAGTGGCTTTTCTCCATCCACAAAACAACTGGGATTGTGAAAGGTGTGCATGACATCATAACTAAAATAAAGATATGTTGAAATAGTGCCATAATAAAATGGTTTGTAGAGAATTCTGACTTGCCCAACTAACAATGAAGGCATAATTGTATTTTACGTACCCCCTACTTTTTCTTTATACAATGTATCTGGATAGTACTTGAACTTCCCAATGCACATCATCTTAACTTTCCAGATTTCAACCAGTCTATACCCACCTGTTGAGCACCAACCACAAGTGAACATTGTGATTCTATATGGTTATGTAAGAATGACTTGCACAGTCCAAGGGCTACTCTCACACATTTCTACAGATGCACTGTAGTTCTCTACCCTGGCCGTACATTGGAATCACCTGAGTGTCTTTAAAAAATATCTCTTCTGTACTCTATTTGAAGAGATTCTAATTTACTAGTTTGTGATGGGGTTGGAGTTAGCACTATTTTTTAAAACTCCCCAGAGTATTCTACTGTTCAGCAGGGACTAAGAACCTCTGGTCTAACCTAATTCAATAATCGTCCTGTGTTGTTAGAATGCTCTTTCTCTTTCTTATTTTGTCCATCAGTTCTGTATCTGAGAGTTTTGGGTAAATAGGATAATCTCAAATTGTAAATACAGTTTTGGGGATGGTATGGATCAAGGTCAGCATAAAAGGTTATAGACAAAGAGAACATGGATTCATTCCAAGCTCAGCCTTATTTCTTTATCTACAAAATAGGGATAAAAATACCTTCCCCATGGGGCCATTGTGAGGATACATAATAAAATACCAAGGGAATTGTAGCTACTACTGTTGTTACTGTTGATATTAGTTATTCCTCTGTTAATATAACTTTGCTCATCCAGTTTACTTTCTTCCAGATTCCAAGGAGAGCTCACGGGGAAAACAGGGTCAAAAATTTTTATGTAGAGACCAGAAAGGAAGAAAGAAAAGAGATTATATATATATATATATAAA